CGGTCCCAATTTGACACTGTCCTTACTCAGGAAGAGTTTTGGATTCCGAGTGCATTAAAATTAATTAGGAAATACTAATTTTCATTTTATTTTATTTTATAGAAGTTTGACATCTTTTAGTTTTGGTTTTCTAATTATTATTTTTTCACTACCATTTCAATGAAAGATCGCACCATCCTTTTTTTTTTGTCTTCTTGTTTTATGTAAGTTCATAAACATAAGTTCATTTTCATTTTATTATTGTTTATACTAGAACTAAGTAATTTGTGCCCATTTCTTAGGTTTATAAATATTTTAATATTTTTTTCTACGTATTTATTTTTGGTTGTACAAAATATATCACATTCAGACAATCAAATCTTAAATCAGCTATACTTGATTTAGGTGGGCGGTTTGTTCAGAGATCAACCCCTGAAACACACAATTAACAATTGTACAATTCAGAACTTCACCACCATTTTAAGGCCACCATCTTGCTGCAAACCATTCCTGTCAAGTTAATCTGGTCATTTGGTGGTGTGCACACATTAAGGTAATCTCTTAAGAAAATGGAAAGAAAAGAAAATATGAGTTGCTAAACTTTAAGAGAACAGCCTGGTGGAGGAAGTATGAAATGAAATGAAAATATTTTTTTTTATTATCCTGGGACTGTTGTCCCTTTAGGACAAATTACAGATACAGAACAAATGCCTGTGTATTAATACATAAAATTAATTATTTACAATTCTTATTAAGATTAAGATTTTGGAAAAAGAATAAAATAAAACAATTACACTAAAAACATACTGATATGTATAATACAAACTTGGGAAAATAAAATTGCATAAGTAAAGAAAATCATTCTGGGAGAACTTTAAAAAGTTCTCTTATCTACATTGGGAACGGGAGGGGGGAAGTGGGGGAACACAAAGGAGAAAACCAGGAGTTGATGGAAGGAGATAGCGGAGACGGTTAAACTGTTTCAGGGTTGAGATAATACGACGGGAAATTTGGGAGATGTGTTGTTTCCAGGAGAGAGTTTGATCGAATGTAACACCAAGGTTTTTTACGGAAGTATGGAATGAGATAGGTGAGTTGTTCAGGAGAAGATTGGGGAGTGTCTGTAAGGATTTGAGGAGTGAGGAGGATCCGATCAGGATGGCTTTCATCTTCTTGGCGTTTAGAGTAATCCTATTGTGATTTGCCCAGGCACATATTGCGTTTATATCTTCCTGTAATTTTTGGATGGCATCAGAGGATTCGGTTGGATTGAAGGAGAAGTAAATCTGGACGTCGTCAGCGTACAGATGGTATTGACAGTATAGGATAGAGGCTGAAAGGACATTGATGTAGATGGAAAAAAGGGTGGGAGATAAAGGGGAGCCTTGTGGGACCCCCTGGACAAGGGTAAAGATTCTGATGGGGGGTTATTGGGGGCTACAACATACTGGGAGCGGTAGGAAAGGAAGGATTGGAACCAATTAAGGGTACTAGTTAAGAAGGAAATATTGGTTAGGAGAATTTTGTGGTCTACTGAGTCAAAGGCTTTGGAGAAGTCAAGGAGAATACGGATGGTGTGTTTCTGCTGGTCCATGGCTGCATGAAGGTCTTGGGAAATTTCGATGAGGGCAGACTGAGTGGAGTAGCCAGGCCGGAAACCGGACTGGTTGGGATTTAGGAGGTTATTCTGTTCTAAAAAATCGGATACCTGGGTTTGAACTAGTCGCTCTAAAGGTTTGGAAAGATTTGAGAGGAGAGAAATTGGACGGAAATCATTGAGAGTTGATGGGTTAGAAGTCTTCTTCATAGGGCGAACTAGTGCGGTTTTCCAGGGGGTAGGAAAGGTAGCGTTTTGTAGTGAGTAATTGTAGATATGGTAGACGATTGGAAGGATCGATGGTAGTGAGGCTTTGATCAGTCTGACTGGAATGTTATCGGATCCATAATCATTGATTTGCGACTTTTGAATGGAGTTGAGGAGGTCATCAGGTGTAATATGGGAAAAAAAAGAAGTGATCAGGATTAAAATGTGTAGGGAAACACATAGGAGCCGGTACAGTCGCGGGAGATGGGGACGAGAAAGGACAGGAGACATAGTGAGCGTTAAGGTCATCAGCAGAAAAGGAAATGAGCTGTGTTTGAGGTGTGTTGCAATTTGTAAGTTTTTTTAGAATAGGCCACTTGTCCTTAGAGTTTGGGGTGTTGGATAAGGAATGGTGGAAATAACTGGAATTGGCTCGGTCTATAGCATAAAGCGATATAGTCTTCCGGGAGTTGGGTACGTTTAAACCTCCGTCTTGCCGCATCTCTTCTTCTCATGCACTCTCTCAAAGCGGGTGTCAGCCAAGGAGCAGGGGGATGTCGGATGGTTTTAGTTAAGAGAGAAGCATGGCAGTCGATGGTATGAAGATGGTTGGTAAGGATTTCTACCATGGCGTCAATGGATATTAAGGAATAAATGGCGTCCCACTGGGTAGCGTCGAGATCCTGCGACAGGGAATCCAATATAAACAAATCAAGCCAGGACTCTGAGAACTGGGTATGATGGTTAGGATTGTAAGGTACTATATAAAGGCTGAGGGATTGGAGGAGGCCAGTCAGGTAAGAATGGTCATTAAATTGGTATTGAAGTCTTCGGGGAGGATAATATTGGAGTAGGAAGGGATCAAGTTGTAAAGGGAAGTCTCAAATGATTCATCAAACGGAATTCTGGGAGGACGATAAATAGCTGCTAAGAAAATGAGAAATGATGGTTTTGAGGATTTCAGTAAAAAGATATTCCAGGTGCGGAGAATCGGTATGGGAAGAGCAATGTAGGATTTTGAATTCAAAGCTGTCATGGACAAAGAGACACACTCCACCATCTGTACGATCCACTCTGTCATGACGAAGGAGGATATAATTGGGTAAATTAATTTAGGAAGATGGAACAGAGGTCTTTAACCAGGTTATAGAAACTGCAATTAAATGGTAGAAGTTGCGGGGGGAAAAATCATAAAATTCATCAAAATGGGCTAGGAGTGACTGAGCATTGACGTGACAGGTTAAGGATATTAGTTATGGAGAAGGAGGAGGTGGCTTGGTTAACAGAGACTGGAAGTGCTAGGGGTAGGAATATTTTTATAGTGATTGGAGCTAGTATGAGCCCAGAGTACATAATTGCTGATGACACCTCTATTAAGAAGAATCATGAGTCTAATAATAAATGATGCTAAACAAAAACAAAAAATAAAGAATACTAATTTTCCAGGTATTATTAATGCTGAAAAGTTGGAGATATACAATTCAGTAAACGAAAGATGTACCTCTACATCGGAAAAAAAAGTATTTACGTATATTAAAATGTCTAATAGAATAAAACTTGGACTGTTCTTATAAGCAAAAATAAAATAATTATCAAAATAAAGTAGATCAAAAACAACTGCATTGTAATCTTGAAAAAAAAAAAATAGAAATGGGCAAAAACAGAAATGAAAAATAAAGTGTGCAGAGCAATTAAACATTAGTATGGAGAAGAAGAAGAGGTGGCCGAAACCATGAAGCTCAAATTCAGACAGAAATTGAGTCCAAATTGACAATCAAGCAATATGTAATTAATCTGTAAAGAACCACACAATTTTACAAAGGCACAAATTTCATTTATTTTATTTTATTCAATTATATGCAATATAATCATGTTTTCAATGTTCTGTTTAATTTAATCAATCATCAAATTTTAGTGATCCAACCTCACCAATTTTCCCAATCACCAGCGCACATAATTCACATACAGATCATTGGGTAATATTTGGCTCACACCAAATTACCGTGATCGAACACTTGGATTTTGCATTTTAGTCACATCCCATACAAAAAAAAAAAAAAAAAAACCTCCATTCGATGCAACTTAAACTCTTTTTTCATGACTAGGTTACTGGGCTATATCTTGCGTATAAAAAATTGAGTTGGGAATATCTGTGAATAATATAACGTTAATGCTGTTAATTATTTTTTAGAGTTAAACGGATATCCCTGAAGGGGCAAGCGGTATTAATTGTGTTAGTTCAATAGATAGTTATAACATAGAATATGAGAAGGTAGCGGTCTCATCCCGGTAGATTTATTGTTTATCTCCCTATGCCGCTGCGGTCCTGAGGTTCGTCCAAGCCGTCGCGTTTCCTCGTTATAGCAGATGTCTGGATTGGGTTTAGCCGATGGGCGGTAATTCCTCGCTGGTCGCCCGCAAGTGGGCTTAGTGTAGCCGTGGGTTAATGAGCAGGGGTTATCCTAATGAAATAGACTGCGTAAGTGAGGTCGAAGCACGGTGCTTTATCAAGCACCTGAACTTCGTACGTTGATAACGCCGTCCTCGAGAGGGAGTAAGACAGGATGAGACCAGGATTCTTCAAAGAGAAACTTAAAACATATAATAAGCCATACATTGAATAACAAGGATGTAAATCCAACAATATGTATAATTATTTTTATTTACTTTTTTTTTCTCATTGTTATTTCTTTTCACTTTGAATTTTTTTTTATATTCATTAATTTTATTTATTTTTTTCCTTATGTACATATTTTGATTTTTGGTTAGATATTAAATAAATTTTATCGGTCGTTAGTTTCTCTGATCAGCTGTTCAATTGTAAACTTCCCTTGCTGTATAAGGGCTTCCTTCCAATATGCGATTGGATGTCATGAGTGAGGTTTGATTTGCTGTTTTTTTTTTTCTGTCCTGATGGTGCCTGAATTGGCGAAACGTTGGCAGGTTTTCACCTGTATGTTAAAGACTCATGGATTTATAATTTGAGTTTTTCCATTTATAAAATAATCAGTTTGTCTCTTTTCTTGCTACTTGTTTATTTAGTGAAATATAATTACAGCAATTTTCGTTTAATTTATTTTTATCATATTCGTCTTCAGCAATCCTAAATTCTGATACCAACTCTAAATCGCTAAATCAAAAATATATATATTTTCCATATTTTTTATTACAATATAACTTATTTACAAAAGTGATTTTGTGATTTTTTTTTTTTCAGAATACATTGTCACATTTAATGGATATTATAGAAAAAAAATTAGGAAGGCTTTCATTGCTGCAGCATTGAATAATAGTGATATAGATTCATGGCACATTGTTGAAAGAAATAATCTTGCCAGTGATTATCCCAGTGATTTTGATGTTGTTATTGTAAGTATATTTTAACTAGTGTAACTGAAGAGATATCCAATTTCATAAATTGTTAACAGTTGTTTGTCACTGGAAATTATTTGTTAAAATTTAGTTTTACATTGAGTTATATATATAAAGAGTTGGGTTGGTCCACAATCTATCTTTAATAAAACCAAATAGTTGGTGTCAAATTTAAATTAATTTGTGTAAAATAAAAATTTAAAAGTAAAATAAATAAAAGTTTATGTTGATTGTCAATTATAATCAATATGTATAATATATATATTAGAGGGACCGGATAGTAATGTCGTTTTCTTATGTTAAATTCAAACACAGTTCTACGCATGCGCTAGATTATAATATACCACTGTTTCCTTGTCTCTTAGACTTATCCACTCTTTCTTGGAAAATAAGTGTTATTTTTTAATATCCTGATAGATCTTCAAGATACTACCAAACCACTCATCACCCTTCTCACCTAACTCCTTTCCGAAATCCCATTTAACTTTCCTCGATGAACTCAAAGCCCCTAGTTATCCTCTTATGGACCGCTAATGGACAAAACCACCGTGACGGAATGGACATGTTTCTTCATGACAATTAGATTGACATTGCCCTCCTGACGGAAACTCAATTCACCCAACGGTCAAACTTTTACATTTGTGACTACATCACTTACAGATCAGACCACCCAGACAACACTTCTCACGCCGGTTCGTGCATCTTTATCCATAAATCCTTCTCCCATTCCTTAATTCCATCGACTCCAACTGATGCCATTCAATCAACCTCAGAATCCTTTCATCTCACCCTTTCCATCTCACATTCTCAGCTGGATGCTGTCCTCCGTGTAAATCCCTCTCCTATAGCCTTCTTGATTCATTATTCCAATCTCTCGGACCGCTCTTTGTTGCTGGAGGAGACTATAATGCTAAATACCAACTATGGGATTGTCACACATCCAACTCCCGTGGTAGTGCCCTATCTCGTGTCTCGTCTTCCAATAGTTATTCTCTTGCTCATGAATCCTACCTATTGGCCAACATCCCTTAAAAAAAGTCCTGATATCCTGGATATTTTTATCACCTCCCAGATTTCCTCTTCTCAGACCACAATTATATCTCTGGATGACCTTTCATCAGATCATAGTCCAGTTCTGCTATTATTGCATTCAAATCATTGTCCTAAACCTTCCTCTCCAAAATTGATTACAGGTCAAGTTGACTGGGACAAATTTCGTGATGATTTAGAAAACAAACTAGACTTAAAAATCCCGCTTAAGACAAAATAAGACATAGACGAAGCCATTGAAAAACTTACCACATCAATAGCAATCAGCAAAAAGGATAAAACATCCATAAATAAAAACAAAAATACACGACATATTAACTTGCCACAACATATTCGGATCTTATTAAAGGAAAAACGCAGAGCAAGATTGAAGTGGTATAGGACTAGATATCCTACAGGTAAAACCTACTGTAACAAATTTACTAAAAAACTAAAAGTAGAAATTAGAAAATTCAAAACTCAAAAATTACTTAACCTGACTGAAATCTTATAACTACCGACAAATCACTATGGACGACCTTCTAAAAGCTTCTGAAGTTTAAAGACTTTAAATCACCCACTGCTTACTGAATTCCAAACCTGGTCCAAATCAGACGAAGACAAATCTCAAATATTCGGTCAACACCTCTTCCAATCTTTCAATCCTCATCCTGATATCCTTAATTTAACTCACCTGGAATGTATTGATGCAGAACTGGATACTCCTCTCCAAATGTCCCTTCCACCTGAAACATTTCATCATACAGAAATATCCTTCATCATTCACAGATTACCTTCAAAGCTCCTGGACATGACCTTATCACATCTCAAATCTTAAAAATTCTTCCTCGAAAAGCCATCCTATTCCTTACTCACATATACAATGCTCCGATCCACATATTCCTCTGACCCTTGGAAACTATCAATTATCAAAATGATCCACAAACCCAAAAAGCCACCTGAATACCCATCCTCTTACCGTCCTATCTCTCTTTTACTAATCATTGACAAAATCCTGAAAAAAACTCATTTTAAAACGCCTGTCCCCATCCTAGATTCTAATAATATAATCCCTGATCACCAATTTAGATTCCGCACATCCCATTTCACTATCCAGCAATGTCATCGTGTGGTAGACGTAGTCTCCTCTGCGCGCAAAATATACTGTACGGGATTCTTTCTCGACGTCGAATAGGCGTTTGATAGAGTCTGGCACCCGGGACTGCTGTACTGACTCCGTAAATTCCTACCACTTACATACTTCCTCATTATCCGTTCATACCTTACTGACCGATACTTCAAAGTAAATCATAATAATGCATGTTTATCCCTCTTTTCCCAATCTGCTGGTGTTTCTCAAGGGAGCATCTTCGGTCCTATCCTTTATACAGCTGATATCCCAACACGGTCATCACCAGCTATGGAGATGACACTTGTATCCTATCTGTTAATAATGACCCTTTAATTGCATCCCAAACCCTCCAATCACATATCACAAACCTTGAAGAATGGTGTCATAACTGGAGAATAAAAATAAATTCCAATAAATCCCATCAAATTACTTTTACCCTTCGTCGTAAACCTACAACTTCTTGTCCTGCAATACCCTTCAATGATATTCCACTTGTACCTGTTGAACAAATTCGCTATCTAGGGCTCCGCTTGGATAAACGTCTCACTTGGAATCCGCATACTACATTGAAACGACAAGAAACTGCTTCACGTTTCTGACAACTGCTTCTCCAACACTTACTAGACACTCTAAACTTTTAATTAATTACAATTAACTCGTCTACTTAACCATAATAAGACCTATATGGACATACGGAGTTGAGCTTAGGGGTTCTACCAAACCCTCGAATTCCTATCGTATTCAATCCTTACAATCCGAAATCCTTAATACCCCATATTTTGTCACAAATAAAACCATTAATAAAGACCTTAATGTTCCATATGCCGCTGATTTAGCGCGAGCCAGATACCTATCATTTCATGATTAACTCCATTCCCATCCGAATCCACTTGTTTCCAGCCTTGTTTCTTCCTCGGTTCCTGATAATCCCCCTAGGCGTCTGAAAAGAAGAGGGAGTGCTACCACTGGGCAGTATTTCTTCAAGTCTGTTCATGTCATTATTTCTAATGTTTGCATTTTTAGTAGTTGTATTGTTTATATAGTTGTGAATTTCATTATATAAATAAAAAGAAAAAAAATGTTTTTAATGAAATTGTGATTATACTTGAGCTAAACACCTCGACCATAATATGCACTAATGCCACAGTGAGTACAGCTGTTAAATATTGTGTACAGTTGTGTAAAATGAAGCTGGTTTATAGAGGCCAGCTCCCTTATCTCGCAGCCATAAGTATCTGGTCCAGGCTGAAGCCTTCACTGGGAGAGGTCCTTTTGCGACGCTGATAAAAAATCAAGGTCACGCAGCTTCCTTCATTTCTCTCCTGATGTGCTATGAGATACTACCACCAAGCCATTTCTTCTAAGGGTGAAACAACGAGGTCTCGCTCTGTCGGATATACACCATGTTCGTCAACTGCGAAAAACAAAAGTCGCTAATCGAAAAGAATGACCCCACCTGCGACTTCACCTACAGTAGCAGATAACATTCAGCCTCAGCCGGGTACATCTCAGAAGATGACAGAAGAGTCTCCCTTTTCCATCCCGAATCCTTACGATGTACTACAAAATGAAAAAGAGGCGATGAAATCCGCACCCATTCACAGAGACCCTCCAACCTCCTTCAATTTTCGTTAAACATTTCCTGTTACTATGCACACATTTAAACAAAAGTTTAAATCCTGGTAGCTACTCCTGCTTAAGCTGTACTAACGATATTAAAATATCCCCAGAAACAGCTTATGCATACCTTCAAATACTTAAATATCTATCCGACACAAAGGCAGATTTTCACACCTACCAATTGAGGCAAGGGCTCGTTCTCTGAAGGTAGTGATCCGGAATTTACACCTCTCTACCCGAGCCAAGGCGATCCAAGAAGAATTGACGGCCCTAGGTTTCAAAGTCAGACAGGTCACCAACGTTATGAAGGACAACAGAAATGTATTCAGGGAAAATAGAAAGTTATCATTGCCCACATTTTTCATAGATTTAGAACCCTCAGCAAGAGTCGATAAAATATTATAGGAGTATTCTTGGATGTTGCTCAAGCATTTGAGAGAGTCTGGCTTAAAGGGCTTCCCTTCAAACTGAAGACGATACTCCCTCCTATCTACTATCTTATCCTCCAATCCTTTCTTCAATAAGACCAGCCTTAGCATGATTTTCTCAGAAGTCATTACTCTCTCCACTTTTATACATCATATACACACACCACATTCCTAGCAGCGCCGAAGCTATTACAGTGACTTACGCAGACGATACACCAATGCTTACAAGACATAAAAATCCTACCCACGCCTCACAGATTTTACAACATCATCTAACAAAACTAAACGATTGGTGGAAACTTTAAAAAAATCGACTCAACCAAGACAAAGCGCAACACATTACTTTTACCCTTAGACGTGAAACATGCCCTCCTATTTATCTTGACAATGCTAAAATGCCGCAAACTGATCAAATACAATACTCAGAACTGACATTCGTTTGAAAAATGACATGGGGCCCGCATATCAATAAAAAAAGAAAAACGTTAAACCTCAGACTACGACTATTATACTCACTTCTTTCAAGACGTTCACAATTAAAATTAAAACAGACACTAACAACCTACATTTATTTACTAAAGCCTATATATATGGACTTATTAGTCTGTGGTACAGACCCTTTTTCTTATCAAATTATTAACATCCAGCTGAAACTTCATAAACAGCTTCATCTCATCGTAACAAATATTTTATTTACGAACATTGTTGGAATTAGTGCGTTTTCAATCTGGAGGTAGGCTAACTTTGTCTATTTACTTATTTAGAAATATAATAATCTGTCACGTGGA